TATTTCCTAACCGTTTGCCTTGAAACTGATTAGAAAACATTTCGCCATGCACATATCTTAATACCCCGACACTACAAAACGAAACATGAAAGATAACCTATCCGACAAATTAATCCAAACATATCTTGTGGGGCCCCCGCTAGAACAACAAACTCCAGCGTAGCCTCTGCACCAATAAGTCGGCTTTGAAGTGGAAGAGTTGACTTCGGTTATCTGGCTGACGTTGCTTAGAATGCGCAACTGCCAGCCACATAGTATCTGCAGAGTGTCTGCTGCAGTTGTGTGTATCTTTCAGATACGCTGCCTTATTTATCGGGTCTTTAGCTAGTTCTTTTGTTTTCACACTTGCACAATTGTTTGCCTTGGCCTTATCTTTATGAAGTGTTGCCTTGATGTTGAACAATGCATCTGTCTATACATTTAGATACTAATAGGAGATAGATGACCCCAAAAGCACCGCTGATGACACAGGTGACTGGGCGGAAAGGTCAATGGACTCGGGCCGCACATGCATACATCTAATTAACCTACAAAAATGCAAATTTCTGCAACACACCCACTTCACTTAGGAAATGGCTAAGAGAGAGAGAAATAGAAAAAGGACTGAGACCGAGGCCGAGACGGACACGGAGAACAATTTCTAAGCCAAACAATCAATCAACGTTGTTGGCCACTTGAGCACGTCGTTGGTGAGAAGGATGCACGAAGGTATGCCATGCCACAGGTGGGGGCAGGATGGGTGTGCAAAAGTAATATTTATTATGTGTATACTTCTCTGACAAACAACACGAGAACTTGGCCTGGCCCGGCCTGGCCTGGCAGAAACTGAGACAGAGCCACAAAGGGCCAAAGGGGAACACGAGGACCGAGAGAATGAGGTCTGCCAAGAACTGCGAACTGCGAGCTGCGAACTGCGCCTGGAAGACTCACCACTGGAGACCTGGGCGGAATGGTATAAGAGTCAAGTCGAGTCGCGGAACCTCGTCTTTCATGGCATGCTGCCAATAGCTCAATAACACCCCGGGGACCAATTGAGATCTTTTTGGTGGGATAGGCAGGCACATAGGACACCGATTCTCGCTGGGCTTAGACAGTGGAACAGAGAAGGGTCGAGAAGGAAAAACAACGGGGGCACCCAGGTCGTAGTGACACCCGCTTTCCCATAGTGTGACAAATGTCATTGCAGAAATTTTAGTAAATTAACAAAAAAAAGTTATATAACAGGAAATGATGGATGGCCGTGCAAAAGAATTCCAAGAACACGCCATTGTGTCACCTATACTGGAATTAATTTGACAGAAAAGGTTTTATGGGCACTTTTTTATGATTTTGAAAAACTATAAATACTGAAAATATAGAAAATAATATATTTTATTATCTTTGCTTTGAAATTCCCGACCATTGGCCCACTGTGTCTCATGCCAATTGTTTTGCCAGACAAATAGACGGCCGCCACAAAAGCAAAAAGTCTGCAATTACTGCCTATGGGCCAGGCCACTTGGTGGGGTCCCAGTCCTAATCTTAGTGGGGTGCCCAGTCACGCGCCCAGGCCAAAAAAAAAGAAAACCAGAAAGATTTTCATTGGATTTTTGTCTCGCTTTGGATTTTTAGGGGAACCCAACTCCAGGACCGATGCTAGCCTTTGACCCGACCTGTCAACATTGCACAGCCCGCGAAATATGAACGTCATATTCTCAATGAATCCCTGCAGTGGATTAGAAGAGCTAGTTTTTGTTACTGGTAACTCAAATGTTACACTCCATTGACTTGACAATGCATTCTGACATCCGTTTTGCACCTCGGCAGTTCGCTTTGGTCTTTGTGTTCGCCATCTACAAAGGAAACCCCTTACGATAGGTGGTCCTCCCATGCCATCGCTTCAGATCGCAACCCATCCCAGTACCAAAGCAAGGTAATCCGAGAGCCGTGTTAGGGACCCTTTTGCCGGCTTCATTAGCCTTCAGATCTGCGACAGACAATGCAACAATTATGGCCCGGCATTTATGCACTAGCCGAACCAAAGGCGATGCGACAACGGGTGAGGACAGGCCAACAACATGCATCGCCTGCACCGGGGGAACGTAAAACAAAAGCAAAAGTGTTGCTAAATTTAGACCAACTGTCGTGGGGCATGAGGAGGGAGCTGGAGCCCTAAGCCTGTGAGGTCTGCCGGTTGAGTAACCGCAGAAGGAGATAGCAGAGGAGCTGCATAGGGTGCAAGGGGACCAGCTGACTATTGCCTGACGCCTTCTAATTGCCGCTCGGCGAGCGGAAGCCGAGAGTTGAGTTCTATTTTTATATGCCATATACATATTAGCTGCCGAGGAGCTACAGAAACAGCCGCAGGGGGAGCCAAATGTGGAACAAACTCAAGAAGTCTAGATGCAGATGCAGATGCAGAGGAGTGCATAATTCCCAGTGGTAAGATTCGACTCTAAAATGTCTTGAAGAAACTCTAATGATATTCCAGTGTTGGGGAGAGATTTTTAAAATATTCCTGGGTTCTTAACCTTAAATCAGCCTACATATGAAAGCTCACTCCTTGATCCACTTCCTTCTTTCCCCATCGGCCATCGCCTTCATCTATTAACTTGTTGACACAGTTGTTCTACCCACTGGATATTGACTCAAATGACTTTCACACTCAAATAGTAAAGTTTATTTATTTTTTTCTTGGTGAACACTTGACTCCAACGCCTCGCTCAGCTCGGGTAATTCAATATTGTAACGCGAGCTATTTTTAAATTAGGAAACATCGCCAGGAACAGCTATACCAACAAATCGATCAACTAGTTCTCAGTTCTCCGGTTTACGGATCATTTCCATACCCCTCACTACACTATGTATTTTTCACGGCTGTCAAGTGCTGATGGCCTCGGGTCTTTTGGGAGGTGTCTCTCTATGGGTTCTCGTTGTTTTCGGGTCTGTGACTTCCTCAATAAATGGTTAAACAATACCGAAAGCCCAGTGTGTCTTGGTGTATGGTTGTGCTAATTTCATGGGGGTCATTCGGCATCGGCTTCGGCTTCTTCTCCGGCTTAGATCAGTCACGCGGTTGAAGTATTCTCTCCCCTGCTCATGGACACATCTGAAGCATTTTGGAAAACAAAAGTCTGATTTCTACGCGCACTTAGCCCACAAAAAAGCCATTTACGCCTCGGGCTCCGTCTCGGTCCAAGCTGCGCTAGAAATCTCTTTCGCAGCCGTATAATTTTGGGTGATCAATTAAAAAAAAACTTATTCTAATTTGGCAACAGACAAGCTCCGCGCCATACATACATTTTTTTCAAAGCACGTAATTCATTTAACAGGCGGATTCGCTTCTCAAAACTATTTACAACAAAAACACAACACTTGTGGGATGTCAATGTAAACGATCGGAAATAAAATAAAACAGAATAATTAAGCATGTCTCGACCCATAAAAAATGGTCGAAAACTGCACAAAATTCCCGTCTACAGAATTGAGAACGAGAACAGCCATAAAAGCAACAACAGATCACAAATTATTAGGGTCAGATGTTTATAAATACATTTCTAGGCACGACAAAAAAAATACAAGTCTTATAAAATATTAATTAATTGTCTGCCAAGAGGGATGCAGGGGCTAGGCTAAAAATAGTACTAATATGAACTGACAAGAGGGATTTAGAAAGATCTTTGGACAAGTAACACTGCTAACCGGGTAATAAAAAATGGGGTAATAAAAAGTGGCAGACTATCTGTGCCTATTTCTTATTCTAATCTTATTCTAACTTTAACTCTTTTTCTTCTGGAGTTTCTAATCTCCTCCAAAAAGAACATATTATCTTGGATTATGCCTAATCGGGACTCCTTATCTTTCAACAAGTGTTGAGATGAGATATCTTTTTATTGTGTTCTACCTCCCTGATTTGCATAGATACCATAGCCCACACCAACCTGAAACTTTCCCAATGCTAAGCCAGTTTTCTGGTTTATTTTCTAAATAGGCGAAACTATGCCTGATTTTCTTTGGTATTTTATGACGACGATTTTATGTTTATTAAATACAAATTCCAAAACATATCAAAAGCCGGTTGCCCTTTCGGCTGGGGCTGAGGCATCGAGTCGACGACTCTGGTTTCGGGCCGGGGCGTTGTATTGTCGTAAATTTTTTGTGACCCAGCCCGCCTCCTCGGGTAAGCACAATAAACGATTTTCACTTTTTTTCAGTTTTCTTCTCTTTCTTTCTGGCTTAGAGTTTGGGGAGTTTTATGTTTCCTATGCTTTGATTAGTTTTTGTTATTTTAATTAGTTTTCAGTGGCATTTTTTACGTTTATTTTCATTTATTTTTTTTCCACCCAAATTCTAAGCCCAGATTCCAGTGAAACGAGAAACGAGAAAGCGAGAGTTTTCCTTTGTGGCACCGCGATTTTATTTGTTTTATAAATGGTGTTCGTTGTGGCCTTTTTGTGGCTTGATTGAACGAAAGTTTTAAGATTAGAAGACATTTTCGCCCAGGGGCAATAGTGATGCTTAAGTCAGGTCGATAAATTATGTTGATGAATTAATTTTTTCTTTTTTTGAATAAAATTAAAAAATGTGTCAACATTGACGACTCTCTAGGTTCTGTTCAATCTCTCTATTAGTTTGAGTTTCTAAACATTTAGCATCACTTTCAGTATCTTTCGGATACATTTTAGGTTATCTAGAGAGACAAAATATCTCCTGTTCGAAATAAAATTAATCCCCCAACATAAATTCCTCAATAAATTGTCCCTCTACACTAACACCAACTTCTCAAATGTCCCACATGGAACGATGTCTAAAAACTAACACTCTGGAAGAAGGCCTAGACGAACATAAATTTTCACTGCAACAACAAGACAAGAATAACAAAGACTGGCCAGAATCGGAAACTAAATAAAGATTTATACAGCACCCACAAAAATAAATTTCTTGTCTGGAAGAAACTCCAAAGCGCATTCGTTAGATACAAATGCCATTGGGAGGGAAGTTCGATTTTAAGGATAACTTACCCTATTGCATTCCAAGGCTGCGGCCGAGTGCTCCTCCCGCTGGCGGAAGCAGTGGCTGCACTTGCTCTTGTTGAAGATGTTCGGCGAAAACTTGCGACAGTCGGCGGTGCGCCCGTTTCCGTTCTGGGCCGAGCTTCCCGATCCAATTCCAGAAGTGGTGGTGGGCGTTGGTGGGGCCGACACAGAGGCGGCCACCGTGGTTGTTGTAGTTAATGTTGACATTCTGCGGCTCGTTCAAACAAAAACAAAAAACGGAGGGGGGGCGGAGAGGCCGTGTGGGGGTGGTGTCGCCGTCTCCAGAGAGAAAGAGAAAGAGAGAGATAGTGCGGAGAGATGGCTTCAGACACTCGAAAATTGCATGGCAGGAGGACTGGAAGCTACTCTAGATTCTCGATTTTCGTTTGTTCCGCAAGGAGGCGGGCGGCTCCTAGTGGTTATGTAAGCCAAGCATGCCTGGCATCTTGTTGCTGTTGTTGTTGTTGTTGTTGCTGCTGGCAGCGACCCCCTTTTGTTTACCTCACTTCGCGCTAACTGTTTCTGCACTTGCTGGCCGGATTGCCTTTATCAGCTTTATTTTATTTTTATGCTTTTTTTTTGGGGGGTACACACAGCGAATGCGAGGCACAGAGACGGGAAATTATTCAATTTCGTTTTGCACTTTGATTCTTGGCTTTGGCACACACACACACACACACTGCTGCTGGGGAGCCGAAAAAAGCCCCACACACTCGCACGCAAAAATGCACACAAACACACACACACCAGCACACACACGAAACCAGGGCAGAAGTTCTGAGATACTTCTTTTTGGCCTTGTGCGGCGATCTGCTGTTGTTGTTGTGGTTGTTGTTGCTGTTATTCTTATTATTATTATTGTTAGCTTGTTATATTCGTGGTCGAAGCTCGCGAGCCGGTATTGGTATCAGAAGCTGTATCGGCCAAAAATACGTGACAATACACATCAGTATTTGGTGGCAACACAACACAATATCTTGCAGATACTTTGTGCGGGCGAGATACTATTCGTTGGAGTTTAAGTTTATCTTTTCCGCGTCCGAGCTTTAAATAATCCAATTTTCACAATCAAAATTCGGCGAAAGCAGTGATTCAACGATTAGCCGGCGACTGACTATCTCGAAGCGTATTGTGTTAAGAATTTGTATCTCTTCGAATATTTTGTTGAAGTATTTGTTTCAGCTTGGCATTCCCAAGATACTGTTTTGGTTTTCAGACGCGAAAACGAATGAAAGGCGAGCGATTAACGCGGCACCGACGCGCACTGCTTCCGATCCGAAACGACTCTTAACGTGGCTCAAACTCAAATGGCAAGTGGCCTGTATTTTTGTTTTGGCCGGGCCGCTGATTGGAGCTGCTTTACAGATACAGATACTTTTTACATCTACATTCTACACTCGATTTCTGCAGTTCGGGCATTCAGTTCGCTTCGAACATGCTCGGCAAGGTTGCGTGGGAGTGAGAGGCGCTTATGGGATCCCCTATTCGCCTCTTGCTCCACCCGACATGTTGCAAGGTAGCCTAACGAGTGCGAGCGAGAGATTCCATATTTCCTTCCCTTTCCGATGCAACTGGGAGCCTTGCAACATGTTGGAAACGACCCGAAGACTGAAGAGAGCGAAAGACTCTAACTCTCGTGTGTAGTTTTCAGATTAAGATACTCTTTTCCAGATATTGTATTTTAAAGATATTTCTCTTTTCAAGTGAAACTACAAGTTCTCTTTAGTATGTTTGTTATCTACACTGCAATAAATCCAAAGTTTATTTGGTGGCTATTTATTTTAAAGAATGCACTAGGATATCCTAAAGATTTTCGCTGTTTTCCGGCTGGTGGTAGAATAACAGTCTATTAGCCATGCGCAGATATCTCTCTCTTTTCGCATAACTTTCCAAGATACACTTGTTGCTTCAAAAAAGATACACCTAAAGTTGACATATAAAACAAATTACACAGCTCCTGTTAAAAAATTAAATACATTTATAAATCCTCATTAGGTTTATTTTCTTTTTTTAAACAATAAAAGTATAGCTTTTTATTATTTCTCTTTCTGTTATCACATCCGAGGTCTAAACCTTTTCCAGGCTTCCGACGTGTTATTGATGAGGTTTTTGACTCTCGGGATGGAAAAATGAATTATGCTGGTGGAAAAATCAAAGCCGGCAATCATTTCATTTCTCAAAACAATTTGTTTACGGTCCCCCCATAAGAGGAACACGAGAAGGGCAGTAACAATAACAATTAACTGCACGCTTCATTAACAACCTCAGACAACAAATTTTCAAGTGCGAAGCAGAACCCTCATAAGATACGAGCGGTGAAGATGAACCCTTTTCCAGTCGTTTTGGAAAATGAGACCAAAACAAAATGAAACTACACTGAAAACATTACCAATTTAACAGCTTAAAATAAAAAATCGAATAAAATTTAGACGTTAAATTATACTTTATATTTTTTCGGTGCATTTCTGAAATTGATTAATTACACTTGCCGAGGGTTCTGACAATTGCAGGGCGTGCATCATCCCAGGAGTGGGAAACGAAGCACTCGATCAAATATTTTGACTTCCACCTTTACAAGGGGGCTCATCAAAAAGGGGTCTTGAAAAGGGAAGACTAATATCTGGCGCTGCCCTGGAAGAACCAGCCATATTATGTACTTTGAGACAAGAAGGTCAAAGGGAGTTTCAATGAATGAACGATAAAAATATTCAAAATACTCTTTAGATTTTCATTATTTTTATCAACTTAACTACCTCTAATATACACTTTTCATTCATCACTGCATAGCTTCTTTAATACCAAACATTAATGCATTTTAAATGAAGTCGAAATACTCACGACCCTCTACCTCTTATTCGTTAATGTAACATCATTATGGGTCTAATGCGAGGCAGCATCCTTCAAAATTTATAGGCAGACATTAAAACTAGAGTGAGAAGTGCCGAGTTCATTGACCACCAGGGCTACTGTGGCTGGCATTTGAGGTAATTAGTCGGTTTCGACTCTGAATTTCGGCTGGCTCTTGTGCAATTGCCGAAAATACTGCGATCGGTTTCGGTTCTGATCGTTGTTGCTGCTTTTGTTGCATTGGCAGCTGTCTTGCAACAAAACATTGCATGATAATGGCTTCTTTTTGTGGCCATTGTTGTTGCTGTAATACCTGCATAGCACAAAAATGCATTACCGCATATTGATTTCATCGGGTGGACCATGGAGGGGGTTTTGTGTGTGAGTGTTTCTTATTTTTTGGTAGCCGCCGCTCGTTTTGCACATTTTCCACTCTCATTCAAATGTCAATCGAGTCACGAGTCGAGTTGTCCCCTTTTACGCCCCCTCAGGCCCCCTCATCGGTCCTGTGGCACTCAAAATGAATTCACATTAATGTGGAAGACAAACAATGAAGAGGAAAACCTATTTCCCTAAATATTTTTTAGGTCCTTATTGTTCATTTCAATATGGATAGTTTGAACTTTGATCTGGCAAATTACCCAGGGAATATGTAAAATTACTTAATCATCAAAACCTACAAAACAATTATTTTGTAAGATTTTTTGCCAAATTTTTGGGGGATTCCTTTTGAAGTTGAATGATGGCACAATGTGGCCCACTCCGATGACTATATCTTTGCCAAAAATCATCAGATTCATAAGCGGAATACCTTAAACGATTTGTGTAGGGATTTCCTTCAAATCTGCATCAAAATCCAGAAACAAATTATTTTTTAAATTTTTTGTCAAATTTTCTGGACGATCCCCTTCCAAAATGGGGAAAATGCATGAGGGCGCTATATGGCCCACTCCGATGACCATATCTTTGCCAATAATCATCCGATTCATAAGCGGAATACCTTTAACGATTTGTGTAGGGATTCCCTTTAAATCTGCATCAAAATCCAGAAACAAATTATTTTTCAAATTTTTTTCAAATTTTCTGGACGATCCCCTTCAAAAATGGGGAAAATGCATGAGGGCGCTATAGGGCCCACTCCGATGGCCATATCTTTGCCAATAATCATCAGGTTCATAAGCGGAATACCTTAAACGATTAGTGTAGGGATTTCCTTTAAATATGCATCAAAATCCAGAAACAAATTATCTTTCAGATTTTTTGTTAAATTTTCCCTTCAAAAATGGAGGAAATGCATGGAGTCGCATTGTGGCTCACTGGGATGAGTATCTTTGCCAATTATTATTTCATTCTTGAAAATACTGAATCGTTGAATACTTTCAATGATTTGTTCGTCAATTCACTTTCAATCTGCATGATAATTTAGGGAAACATTTGATTTGAGACTTTTTATTATTTTCTCTTAAGGTTACCATTCAGAGATAGAAATAGCTTCAGAGGCAAACCAAAAGATTATGGTAAGCGAACAGTCCCCAATTTAAACAAATGCTAAAAAATTCACACAAGTCTGGAAAATGTTTCCCAAACATTAAGCTTCATGTATCATTAAATGATCCGCTGGCAATTAGTCCAAGGCATTTACCCATGGAACCAGCAACATGCAACATGGGGCAGCAGCAACAACAAGTGCAACCGAGCCCGCCTTCGGGGTGTGTGACCAAAAACATGGATCACGCTTCTTGTCGGAGCACTTGGGTTAATAAGTATCTCGTCTAGCCATGCAAATCGTGAACTGAATTGAAAATCAAAGCACTGAACTTGAGGCAATCTGAGCCGTCAACTCCCCCGCCACTCCGTCATACTACAGTTTTTTGAGTAATCTGCGCGTGGGCTGGCACTTTCCATATCGACTCTGAGGCATTTTCCCAAAGAAAATAGATAGAAAATATCCGGCAAAAAAATTATCCACACTTTGCGCCCTTTTGACAGCAAGTGAGGCTCGATTCATGGGTAATTTAGAGAGTTTGGTAGTGAGAAGGGGTGGCAGATTGGGCGAGGCCTAAATACTGCACAAGATGTCTGTTGCTTGCTACATATTAAATTCATTGCAGCTGCAACACTTTCACTTTTTCTATGCTAATTTAAAAAAAAAAAAACTTCCATAGAAAAAGTTTTGGGTATGCCAAAAAAAAGGTTGCCAAATTTTATAAATTTTTAGATTGTCAAAAAATGTTTTAAAATCCTACAAAAAGGAAGAATAAGTTAAAAAGGTTTCCTAGCATTGCAATGCATTGTCAGTACGGTAATAAATCTTAGATATTATATTACTACAACAATTTTAAAAACGTATGTATTTAAATTTTTAAGAAATATTAGTTTTTCTGAAATAGTAACAGATTTACAAAAGCTTTACTGCTAAGAAGGTGGAATCTAGGCTATATCTTACAGGATATTATTATAAACGTTATAAATCGAAGTATGTATATTGTTTTTAACATTTTTGGCCGTTTAGCCAATGACTTCACAAATGACCAACGAAACTCAAACGTGTATCAAAACCGAAGCCTTCCCGAAAACATTTTGCTTGTCCAACGAAAACCACCTGCGAACAATTTTCATTCAGCAGCCACAGATACAAGAAAAGCCAACGAAAAATGCCGCAAATCGCAGACTGTCGGTCTTCGCCTGGTACCAATTTGGCGGCGATTCGCGGACTCACGCCAGGTCCAGGGTGTGGATGGAAGCCCGAGGGGGCTGTGGCTGAGGGGCAGGAGGGAGAGGAGATGGAGCCAGTGGGGAAGGGGAATAGGGAGAGCGGTACCACCAGCCGTCCATAGACCTTTTTGTGAAAGTGAAATTTTTCGCAAAGTCAGACTGTGTGTGTGTGTGAGTTTGCTGTGTCTGCAAGCGTCGAGTATGGCAGTCGTTTGTTTTCCTGCACTTTTTCAAAAATGCATTTTGTATGAATACCCTCAAATATAAGTGCTTTAGTTTTGACACTGAACGAGAGTGAAAAAAAGGTCTGAGAAATTTAAAGACCAACACAGGGTCCAACCCAAAAGCTTTCTGCTTTGTTTTTGTCGTAACAGGATATAAGATTTGTACTGTAATTTAATTAATTAACAACTTATTAAGTTAAAATAAAATACTTCCAAGAAAAAAGTATTTAAGTTTTATCAAACATCATAGGATTTTTAGTTTGCAAATTTAGTTTTCAAATGAGTCTTATCATTTTTAAAAAGATTACCGATCTTTATAACCTTAATAGTTTCAAACTCTTCAAGAGCATTGATGGTTCGTTGACTTTACCAAACCTGAATATCCAAGCTTTCCGCGTTTTTTGGCGGTTTTGATAATTGACTCTAAGCGCGTGAATAATAACAACCAACAACGGCGGTAGTGGCAGAAACTACAAAAACCAACCAACCAGCGGCAGCGCACAACAGACGTCAGCGGCAACAGGCAGCTAGGAAATCGCGTTTCATTAACGTGGAAAAAGGAAAATTGAAAATTGGGG